TGTGGCCCACTGGAGGCTTGTTGTGCCGCTGTGGCCCACTGGAGGCTCATTGTGTTGGTGTGGCCCACTGGAGGCTTGTTGTGCCGGTGTGGCCCACTGGAGGCTCATTGTGTTGGTGTGGCCCACTGGAGAGGCAGGCGGGGACAAAGTGTGATTGATGGGGTAGTGGTGGGGCAGAGGCTCGTAGATAGGCCTGTGATCTGAAAGTTGCAGGTTCAACTCCCAATATGTCAACATCAAAATGTGGGTGGAAAAGGTGAAACACCCACACCTGCCTCCACCCTCATTGGCCCCACTCTGGGCCCCTGAGCAAAGCCCTTAACCCCCACCATCTGCTCCTAAACATGTCTCTCTTTAAAAGGAGTTCTCGTGGCTCAATGAGACTACCTGTATAAATAAAGGGTAAATGAAAAAAAAAATGAAAAAATGATGATGTGATAAAAAAGATCATCTTTGTGACAGTATGAGAAGTCTCTCTGTTGCAGTATTTCTTTCACTGTTTATCAGCCTTCTTGTTGGCTTCATGGGGGGCCGAGATTAGGCAGAGGCAGGGCAGCCAACTCGGAACCCGAAAGTGGTTAGTTCCAGCTAGCGAACCCAAGTTGAAATTGTTTAATAACCCAGATCTGTTTAACACAACTTTTTAGTAATTCTAATTCCGGGTTCTGCAACCTTTACAATCAAAACATTAAATTCTGCGCCTTGTCTAAATAAAATGTGTCCAGGTCCCAAAACATGCTACAACTGTGACCAACAACTGGTGGCCCGAGGGCCACTTTGAGTTTGTTAGCAGGGGGCCAGTGGGGCTGACAGGATAAAACTGGACATTTGTAATGAAATGTAACTTTATTTTTGATAATTTTACATTTTATGTAAAGAAGGAAATAATATAGTTTATACTAATTTGGAGAAAAAGTTAAAAACTCAAGGCCTGTCTGGTTCCTTTTTTAATTTGTGAAAAACGGAAGTATCCCACTTTGAATTAAAAAACTTTAAAGAGCCACTGCAGAGGGACCAGAGCCACACGTGGCCCCCAAACCTCAGGTTGCAGACCCCTGCTGTGATTGAACTAATTGCTCATTTTAATTGGGTTTAACTCTGGTCAAACTGGTAACCTAATTCTGCTGAGTTGAAACCACCCAGGGTTCAAACCCAGAGCTGGTTTACACATTAGGTTGTTTTGAACCCAGCAGTTTTTAGCTTGTTAATCTTGGACGATCATTTTTGTCCATCGTGGTGAACTTGACTGATTGTCCTCAGTTCGTGCTTCAGGAAATAGAAACATTTAAAACACTGCAGGGAGTTCACACATTCTTAATAACATGATAATCCTGCTGCACACAGGTTGCTACACAATAATAAAGCAGTTATTACATCACTAACAGATATTTAATAATGCACCGCTACTGTTCTTTTAATTTTTCTGTTTGAGACAATGGAGTAAAGAAACTGCAGGAAAAACAGAACAAAATCAGAAGGGAAGTTTTAGTTAAACAATAAATAAATAGAACCAAGTTTGGGGACATGAAGGACCTGTCTTCTGTTCAATCACATAAAATCTTGAAAGAGGTGCAATTTAAAAAACAAGTAGATTAGCATCAGCTGACTGGAGTGCAGTCTGAGCTGCCCCCCAGTGGTAAACACAGATTTAACCTCCTAATCTGGTGCTCAGCTGCTCCTCAGTTTATTTCCTGCTCATCAGAAGAGTCTTCAGACGGAAAACAAAAAGCAACCTGAAATAAGCCGAGACACTTTGAGCAACTAACCAAATCCAAAATTGCTGCAGCATTGATACTTATTATGCTAAAACTTGTCTCGCCTCCAAACTGGATACTTTGGATGTGTTTATGTTTTGCAAGCAGAAGCCTAAAAAACGATTTTTCCTTTCAGTTGGACATTTTGGGAAAAGAGAAAAAGCTTAAAGTTATAAAATATCATGTATGTATCAATAATGACTATGTAAGTTAGTTTTAACAGTGTGCAAAAATGTACACAAATATAATATTTTTGTTCAAAGTTTTAGTTCCTACACATTTTTACATAGAACAAAAGGGTGGCTCATAAATTTGAGTCTCGTTCAAATCAAAAGTGCAAAAACAGTCAAAATAGTCACTCCAGTTTGGATGTGTTTTCAAATGAGGAGACAACAAAAAAGTAGATCACTGACTGAAATACGATGCCTAATTTGCTCAGCTTTTAAAATGAAGAACATGTTGAACAGAGACGGAAAACAACTCGAGTAAATCAGTATTTGTCTCCCTCACGAGGCCTCCTCACTGCTGCCACCACGATGGCCCAGTGGGCCTGGAGCGAGGTGGGGCCTCCGTGGACTCGGCTGCTGAGGAAGCGCTCGGTTTCTTAAGTAACAGATTTGTTATCAAAGCTCTCAGACGAGTCACTGGACATGATGTTCAGCTGTGGCACGTCCAACAACTGGCACTGCAACTGTTCAGATATTCCTATAAATCAGCGTTTGACCTTTCATGTCACACATCTCTCAAGTTCTGTGTTTGTGCCAGAGATTAGATTAGGAAAAGACCATCCATCCATCATCTTTACCTGCTTCTTGCTTTTCGGGTTGTGGGGGTCACTGGTGCCAGTGCCCAGCCATCATTGTGCGAGAAGTAGGGGACACCCTGGACAGGTCTCCAGTCCACCACAGGGACACATAGACACAAACGGGACAAACAACCATTCACTCTCTCACTCACACCTAGGGACAATTTGGGAGATTATGACCAAGTGAAGATTAAGCGCAATCTGCTGCTTCCTTAGATAAATAACTTTTATTAATTGTCTTTTTTATGCAAATGTTTTTTTTGTTCCGTGCCCCGAGATAATTTCTGTTGCAACCTGGCGCTGTAGAAATAAACTGAATTGAATTTAGTTACCAATCAGCTTAACGTGCAAGTTTTTTGTTTGTGGGAGGAAACTGGACTACCTGGATAAAACTCACACATGCACAGAGAGAACATGCAAACACCACCCAGAAACGCTCCAGGTCAGGATTCAATCCGGCAACCTTCTCGCTGAGAGGCAGCAACTCTACCAGTTCCCCATTGTGCCGCCCTAGATTCTTAATCTTTATAAATTTATTGCATATTTTTTATTTTCCTGAGACTCAATCCAGGCTGCCATGGATTGACGATCAGTGCCGCAGTCTTTAATCCTGAGGTTGCAGGAAAGGCATCTGGCGTAAAACAATTGCTAAATCTTTCACGCAAGTTCACTCTCTGTGGCAACTGTTGAAGAAGAGAGCAACTAAAATAAACTTACTATTTCCAGAGAATCAGAGAAACCAAACTAAACAATGAGTTGGTGGGAAATTGGAGACAAGTTGCAAAGTATTGTCTTCTGCCGTAATGTGAGGACGCACTTTTCCTCAAAGAATCATTAAACTCTTCAATAAAACTGACATCTAAATAAAAAAATAAAGCTTTTATTGGGGTAAATTTGATATTGGCATCATTATACACATTTAAAGACAAAATCACAAGACCAGTCAAAAAAAAAAAAAAAAAAAATCATGGATTAAGGCACATAATCTACACAATATGACCAAATATGATTTAATCTATGAATTGATGTAACGGGTTACATTTGCAAAACTACACAGACTATCAGTGTAATGTAGATCAATCCTGTGACTTTGGCTTCCACACGGTTTTCATCTGATTCAGCCGTGTGTTTTTGTTTACGCTGAGTGCCTACCCACATTTCAGATTTGCCAATAAAACACAACCTGGAAAATTACTGGTGTAAACTCTTTCAAACTGTACCATGTGATATAACTCAGAATTATTATTTTTTTATGCTTTATGTCATACTCTGCAACAAATAAGTACATTCAATTTTAAAGGGTTGGTTTCATCAATCTTTTTAAATGTGTGTGAGTGTGTCTCTGGGATTCAGAAGTAAAATACGACAACAATGAGAGGAAAGAAATCTTCAAGTATCAACTAAAAGTAGCAGCAAACGTTCTTTTGGACTTCACTAGTCGAACGGTACCATCTCAGTTCCCATCAGCAGGTTTCCTGGTTCAGCTCCGACCCAGTTCACACCAGCAGAGTAATGATCACTCCATCATCCTGGCCTTGCCACAACATCTCCCCTTCAAACGCCACCTTCCCGTGCTTCCTGGCTCTCATCAGGATGCCCACCACCTTATCAGAGATCCGAACGTACCTGTCAAAAAGCTGTCCGAATGTGACACGGGTCTTCCCATCAGGGTCCGGATCAGCCAAAGTCCTGATCACGTAGCACATGTCGTCTATCTCACGGTGGATGTGTTGCTCGGCCCGTTTGGCCCTCTCTGCAGTCTTGGTGCCCTCCTTGGGGCGTCCGTAACCCTCCTGGCCTTTCTGGAGTCGGAGGGACATGGAGTAATCGTAGTCGAAGTATTCGCTGAAGGGGTTCAACTTCTGGGTGACGGTGTGCTCCACGGCCCAGTTCTGCCAGCGGCTCTTGAGGTTTCCCACGGCGCTGTGCTTCTTGGAGAGAGCGTTGATCTTGTTGGCATCCTCAGCTTCTTTTTTGTATCTACGAGACAAATAAAATAGGATTACAGTTACATGTAATTAATGGATACTCAGGTAACTTACAAACGCTCATCTGTAGGAATTTGAAGTTTTATTCGGTTTTACGTGCAAATTTAGACAAATAGATGTTTAAAATGTTTGCTTACAAGGATAACCCAATTGTAGCTCATTTTTGCATTTGCCTCTGTGTTAGCAAAATATTTCATTACTTAATGAATGCATCATTGGATGCACATTAACTTTTAGAGTCAACTCAATGCAAGATGGGTATGGAGGATGGAATGTGACAAAATTAAATAAATAAATACATGATGAAATTAAATAAATACATCATGAAATAAATTAATGTGCCAATAAATGCCCCATTAAATAATTAAATAATTAAATGTAAATGATGTATTAAATAATTTAATGATACATTTAATTATTATTATTAAGGTGGTGAGTATTGTGCATTTCTTCAAGAAATCCTAATTTTATTTGAAAATATTTTGTTGTTATCAGCTAAATTCAGTTTGTGGAGAGCTTTGTGAATCTAAGATGGAAAAAAAAGGTAAATTTAAATAACTATTTATACCCTGAACTTATTTTAAAGCACCTTTGTCTGCAGTGGTTGTCTCTGAACGTGATAAAGATTGCAAAATGTTTAAATAATTGTTCGATTTTCATCATTTTCCATGCAAGAGCTTTTAGCAAAAGTCTTGGATTGGAAATAAATGGTTTTCTTCTTACTTGTTCGAACCTAAAATACATTAATAAAGTTCAGTAATGTGAGCATAGCAAGTTAACTGAATCTACTCCATATTTATCTGGTGCTGTTTGGGTTTCAAATCAGATGTAAAGTTTTGCAACAGTCAGGGCTATAAGATGTCTGCAAAGATAAAATGATAAAATATCATGTTTGTGTGGGATATGAGACAAAAACAGGTTTTATAATATTTGCACCTGACTTTTTGCTGACATTTCTGGTCCTTTACCAACAAAGTCTGGATGATCAGCAAGTGCACCACTGTATTACAATGACTGCAGCTCTTCTGGAAAATGCAGAGTGTCAGAGTGTGCTGATTTAAGTTGCTGCCTAGTTTTTATTTCTGCTGATGTGAACACAAACTGTAGAAAAAGTCTGAGCTGAATTGATGACCTCTGACAATTTTTACGGAGCTGAATTTATTAGGTTGTTGTGGGGGTAAAATTATTAACATTTGTTGTTAAAATTCTTTCTTGCTGGAAAACTTTTCAACAATTGCTCCGTCATTATTCAATAATCCCAAGTCAGGAAAAAGTTGGGATGTTATGTAAAATGGAAATAAAAACAGACTGCAATAATTTTCTAATCTCATGAACATATATTGTATTCACTATTAAACATACTTAAAAATATCAAATGTTGAAACTAAGAAACTGCTTCGTTTTGAGAAAAAATAATGTGATTTTGAATTGTATGACTTCATCACATCAGACAGGGTCATGTTAACCTCTGTGAAGCATCCTCTACTTTTAACAGCAGTCTGTAAAAGTCCTAGAACTGAGGAGACCATGTTGTTGGAGATTTTGAAGGAGAATGTTTAATTCTTGTCTGATGCAAGATTTAAGCTGTTCAACATTTCTGGGTTTTATTTACTGGAATTTCTACTGATGGGAGCATATGTTGTTCTAAAACTCGTACTTTTCTGCATTGATGATGCTTTTGCACATGTGTGAACTTCCCGTGCTAGAGGTACTAATGCACCCCCATACCATTGGAGAGGCACACTGTTGAACTGTGTGCTGATAACTGACCAGATGGTCCATTTCATCTTCAGCATGGAGGATGTGGTATTCGTAGTTTTGAAAAAGAAATTCAAATTTTCATTCATCTGGTCACAGAACAGTTTTCTCCTTTGCTTAAATCCATTTTATACAAACTGGTTCAGAGAAGGCAGCTGTGTATCTGGATGTAGTTTACATATGGGTCTTCTTTGCATGATAGTGCTTTAAATGGCACTTGTGGATGGCACAGTAAACTGTGTTTACAGACTACAAATTGTGGAAGTCTTCCTGAGCCCATACAATGAAAACAGATTCAGACCTGTTTTTAATGCAGTGACTCCTGGGGTCCAGAACATCACAGACATCTGAAGTAGCTCAGGCCAGGGGAAAACTATCCTTAGTTGTTCATTACTAAGTAAGGAAAGGGCATTTTTGACTGAATTATCTAAGATCCAGTTGCATTGTGTGCATGAAGATGGAGATGGTTTATTTTCTTCAGGAAGTGAAAAGTTCTGTGTGAAGAACAATGTTGAAGACAGAGGAAGTACATTCTTCCTATCAGTGTGTGTGGGGGTGTTAAGAAAAAAATCAGAGGACGCTGACGCACAGAAAAATATATATAAGGCCTGTGAAGTATACAGTGTCTTGGCTTTTTTGAAAGGCTGAAAAACGGTTCAATATTTTTTCTTCAATAAAGTCCCAATTTTGCTGTCACATCAAAGTCCAGTCTTCATTTTTGATTTAATAACCTGTTGAATGAAGAATAAGCCACTTTATTTGGTGCCCAACGTGGGGCGCCAAACTTTACCAATTAATTTAATTAGTTGTAAAATGGTGTAGCTGTTTCTTATATGTACCACTTACTTTTATAGACATTTTTGTCAATTGTTTGAGATGTGTCGCTGCCATCAAAATCAAAATAACATTTTTTAAAATAAATAAATAAAATAAAAACAAGGCGCAACTTCTTGATGTAAACATTTGATATGTTTACTATGCTCCACTGTTAATAAAATAACGGTTTATGAAGTTTGGAGATCTGTATCAGAATTGTATCCATCTCAACATTTTTGCAATCAGGGTCGCACATCTAACACAAAAAAAATCTGAAAAGGTTTTTTTAACACTAAATTAACGCAATAATGAAGCCAACAGTTTGTGTGTCCTAAATGGAAATATTAGTGCTACTTTAATGAATATTTGGGACACGCTTTGTTAAAAAAATCAGCTCTATGATCAATCTGATCTAAATGAAGCAGGATGATACTCACATAGAGACTGGTGGTCTTTTTATCCTCACTGATTCTTCCTCAGAGTCATCTTCCTCCTCTGCTTTTAAAATGTGTGCTTCCTGTTTTTGAACATCCTCTTTGTCCGATCTGATAATTTCTTCTTTTTTTTCTGTCCCATTTCCTCCTCCTTCTTTAACAAGGTTTTTCTTCTCCACCTGCTTCCAACTTTTAGTCAAAGAGGACACCATGTTGGAGCACTTCCTGCGGCGCGTGGGAGAGCTTCTCTTCTTCAGCAACCTGTCGATCTCCTCGCCTGAAGGCAGAGATTCCTTCTGTATCTTCTCAGTCAGGAGGCCGATCCCTGCACCTTTCTCCTGAACGCTGCTGGTCACCGTCTTCACCACCTGCTTTGTTTTGATGCAAGATGTCACCAGAGGCTCTTCTGAAGTCTGAACCTTCTCACTGCCTGATGCCCCTTGAGATGTTGGAGCCTCTGCATGGTTTTCAGCAGCTGTTTGGGTTTGGATAGAAGGGGGCTTTTTAGGGGTCCATGTCTTTCGTGGTTCCTCTTTTTCTCCTCTGAGTGAGTCAGGAGCCCAGCCGCTGGGCTCACTGGCCTGTTTGCTCTCGTTCTCCGTCACCCACTGCTGCCAGCTGCTCGTCAGGTTGCACACCATGCTCACAGCACGGAGCTTCTTCATGTTCCTGTTGCTGGATGGTTTCCTTTCTGAGGTTTTCCCTGACATAATTCTCTATAATGATCCTTCACATGAACTTTAATTCTGTGGACATAATTGCAAATAAAAATGAATCCCTTTTGCTTCTGTTGTGGTTTCCAGGAGCTGTTTTTAGTCCTCTGCTGCTTTCTAACCTCACACTTGCAGCTGCAGCTTAAACACACTGAGCGGAAACCCCAACATGATGCGGTGGAAAGTATTCGAGTCATCCTGGGCTGTGGAGCCGATCGTCTTTCCCTGACATTGATGACCCCGACAAACTCAGGTTTCATCACAGATTTACAGAGCTTGTAATTAGCTGTGAACAGAGCAGCAGGCCAAGAGAAGCTGAGCAGAACAAACACAAACAAGGACCATAAAAAATCATGTTTTTAGGACATTTGTAACAGGTTTTAAATCACTTCTAATTTCTTTATAATTTGCTTCCCAAGAGCCAAGTTTAAAAGTAATTTTGAACAATAGTTCTGTTATTTTGGAGATCTTTGAAAGTTTTTCTTTGGACTCGTCTTATTGGTGCTGAACTATTATTTAATGTGACAAAATGAGTTTTCTTTGATCTTGTTTGTCTACCAGTCTTTCAGAAGTTGAGCTTCTCAGAATCAAGGAAACAAAAGCACTTCTGCACAGTCTATCTATAATATACACAAATAAAGCAAAAAAAGAACTGATTTTAAATGACCAAGATGAAAAATTAACTTTTTACTTGCCAATAAACACCTCAGCACAGTCACTCCCAATATGTTGAGACATTCACAGCTTTAAACTAAAAAGGAAAGTTTATAAATTATATACAATTAGGTATTGGACAAAATACTTGTACAAAAAAATCAGGAAAATGAATGCAGATTATAAAAAGTGTGATTCTTCAAGCAGAATAAAGTCTTTTATCATGTGTTTTTGTTTCAATCATATATTTTTTAATTCTGATAATTTATGAGTAAAGTCTGTTCTTATCTCTAATTTAGATAACGTTACAAAGTGTTAAAACTACACATTTTATAAATAAATCAAACTATTTGTAAAGAAACAAGTTCTAGAAAACTCATTTTGCATTAAGAATTTAGAACAATACTATATGTATGAAGCAAAAATTGTATTCTAAAATGTAGAAAACTAAATAAATGGTATGAAAATGAAATTATTCAGGTACATGATCTTAATTACATTTAATAAGTATTTGTTTCTTAAACCAAAATAAGTTGCTTTATGCAAACAGTACATACTTTGGGTTAAACAACTATTTAATAAAAAACTTCAGTGAAAACATTCTGCTTTAAACAAAACATCTGAAAATATGTAAAAAACTAAAAATATACTGCATATTTCACACAAATAAACTGCATTTTAGAAGTAACTTTTTATATATTCTTCAGTTGTGTAATCCATAACTTTAATTTCATAAATTTGCATTGTGCCTTTTGAAAATATTTGTTTAAAAATATAATTAAAAGACAATCACAGACATTAGCTACAAAATATTTAGCTTTTACAAAATCGTTTCAGCAGGAGGGTGCAGGTCTGGTCTGAGCTGTGATTTAGGAGGAATAGGTTGCATCATTTCATGCAGCAGGTTTATAAATAGGAGCTGGCCCTGAATGCAAACGGCAGCTGCTGGGAGTCCGTCAGAGTCGATGTGGGAGCAAACGTTGGCACAGAAAGCCTCCTCAGACCGATTCTTCCTGATCGGATCCAGTTTTACATAATCTGCTCTGACAGCAGCTAAGAGGCTCCACCTGGACCAACAGTTAAGGTTTCAGGTTAGAAATCAATAAAATTAACGAGGCACAGGGTGCGACTCGCAAAATACAAATTAATGGTAATTGTTCCGATGTGGAGGGAAACAAACCGTCTAAAGGTTAGCAGAGTGTCAGGGATGTGTAATAAATGAAAACACACTAAATCTTTAATCTTTTTAGTATCAAAGACAACATTCCTGATGGAGTCAAGACAAAAAGTCCCTTCAGGTAACTACTGGATGCTTCCTTCCTCGTCTTGAATTAGACTAAATGTAGTAACAGCTGTTTAGTCTGTCGGGGTTACAACAAATCACATAATTCATCGGTAATACCCAGAGAAGAGCATTGGTTTGTTATTATTTTTTCCAAATCGGTATTTGTAGCCACAAGACAGACTTAAAAAAATAAGGTTATGTGGAAAAATGATTAACAATTAACATCTTACCTGTTCTAGATAGCTATTAGTCTTAATTTACAAAAAAAAAAAGTGAATTTACCATATTTTTAAGACTACAAGGCACACTTAAAATCCTTTTTCTCAAAAATCAACAGTGAGCTTTATAATCTGGTGCCTTTTGTGTTAATTCATAATAATACAATACTTAAAAAGAAAACTATTAAAAGAACATACTGCTTGATTGGGAGGGTTGCCACAAACAATTCTGTCATACAGTTAGAGGTTTGCAGAACTAAACTGAACTTTTTTCAATTGAAATTTTCAGCCCTGGAGTTTCATGCCTCAGACTGGCCCACTTTACATCACAACCTATTATTATTAAATTCATGTACCGCATTTTCTGCCGGACACATTGCACCGCCCTATTAAGTCGCATCAGTCCAAACATGTCTAATAAAGTGGAAAAATCCATGAATAAGTCGCTTCGCTGTATATGTCGCATCTATTAATGCATCGCGTTTGTTACGCGTCACCGCTGACAACATGGAAATGTGGGCCGGTGTTGTGCCAAAAATCGATTGGCTGCCAAACGGCGGACGCAGGAGCGTGCACAAGAGGACTTTAACAACATTAACACTTAAAAACAATTATTTGTTTGCTCAAAATTATAGTAAAGGTGTGTCTCGGTTTAACTTTTGCTTAATAAATGCACTGACGGTCAAATCAGCTGTTTCAAAAGCCGATACGCAGAAGTAGGCACGTGCACGGGAGGACTCGCTGTACATTTCTTCAAAATTTATCAAGATAAGCACCTAAAACAATTGTTTGTTTGCTCAACTTTACAGTAAAGGAGTGTCTCAGTTGAATTTTAATTTAATAAAAAATGGTCAAATTAGCTGCATGTCGCCTGGGTGGTACAGCAAAATGAAGCCGATTTGACAGTTGCTCCAAGCGAGCTGGACGAAAATGGCAGGCTAAGGCAAGCCGATTGTGTCATTAATAGCCACTTTTTACATGACACAGCGGCATGCCATACACCTAAAGTGCCATCTAGTGGCTGAAAATGGTAGTGTTCAATTTTTTTTTCAGTCAGAATGAATGAAAACGGTCATATCTCAGCCAAAAATTGGTTTATAAATATGGGGGGGAAAATCCATAAATAAGTCGCTTTGGCATATAATTCGCAGGGCATGCAAATTATGCAAAAATTATACTTATAGAGCGAAAAATACGGTAACTATAACCTTACATCAGGGGCGATTCTAGAATCTGCCAATTAGGAGCGCTTTAGCTCCCAGTGCTGACAATGACTCATGGCTTGAACAATGTGGTGACCATTGACATTGGCATCAGAAGCATTTTTTTTTGGGGGGGGGACACACACTGGTGGGGGTCCTCCCCCAAAAAATTTGAATAGATGCCATTTCCTGCATTCTGGTGTATTTTACCAGGTTGTTTAACATCTAGTTTTGCCTACACTAACACTTGAGTCAACAACTATTTGTGTGTTAATGTCACAAGAAGAAGTAGCCTGACCAACAGCTCTCCTTGTGTGAATAGAGCACACTCCGCTTCTCTCACGTATCCTAGTCACAGTCTAAGAAGCATACCTTGGTTTAGCCTAAGTTAACTTTTAGGAAAAATGGCAAAGACAGGAGAAAGAACTGGAAGAGGCAGAAGCTGAAGATGTTGAGGTTCTCCTTAGGAGTGACAAGGATGGATAAGATTAGGAATGAGATCATCAGAGGTACAGCACAGGTTGAACAACTGGGAGATAAAGTTAGAGAGGCCAGACTGAGATGGTTTGGACATGTCCAGAGGAGGGACAGTGGGTGGTGGTTTGGTAGAAAGATGTTAGAAATGCAGCTGCCAGGAAAAAGACAAAGAGGAGAAATATGGAGGTAGTTGGAGTGAGGACAGAAGATGCAGAGGACAGAGTGAGATGGAGAAGGATGACTCACTGTGGAGACCCCTGAAGAAGGAAAAGAAAGAAGAAGATTGGGACTTAAGATAGTCCTGAAGTGTTAAAATGAATGAACCAAACTAAAGGGTAAGAAACAAGAATAAATGCACACACAGGAGGACAGTTATGACTTTATTTGTTTTATGGGTGTGTTTTTTTAAACAAAGCACCAAAAATCTGCCACATCGTCAAATGACCCGTATCAAAACGGTTTACAAACCTCCACCCCTGAAAACATCTATAAATCTCATCCTCGTGACAGTTTAACCAACATAAATGATAAAACAAACAAACAAACAAACAAGAACTTAAAAGTACAAATAAAATAAGTTCTAACAAACTTGATTACAGTTCATGGTTTATAAAAAACTAAAAGTACAACTGAAAACTGTACAAGCACAAAGTGAGGAGAAAGTGTGAGGTAAGCATTAAACGGAGTTCACTTCAAGCATCAGGACATTTTCTCAAAGACAAACACCAAGTAGATACCTGCACAGAACAGAGGAGACAGGAATCAGGACTGAGCTAAAAGTATCAAATAAAGTTGAACCTGAAGAGTAAAAGCAGGGAAATGGAAAATGGACAGAGACTTACTGGCTGCCTCCCACTCAGACCTGCTCAGTGTTCCCTGCACACAAACAGAAAACACTTTACAACCAAACAGGAACGACGTCACAAGAACAAACTGAGCTCGACGGCTGTCTCACCACTGGTGGTCTCACTCCAGCTCTGCCACAGTGCTCTTTAGCATGGGAGTACTCTCCTGCACTTTCAGTGGCCTGTTGGCTTCTGCCTTCACAGGGAAACGGCTGAAAACACAAACACTTTGTCACGTAATGATAGAAAAATACACGTTGACTGCAAGATTATTCACCTGCAGATGCTGCCTAATGACCTGAAGCCACAACTTGATCTTCAGAGAAGGTCAAAGTATTGTTGGAGAAATGATGTTCTAGAATGAAGCAGCAGTGTCCGTGTAAATGAAAATTGAAGGGAAGCTTGTTTATAATGAATATGTAGGAAAGAGCTTCATAAAACCTACACTCAGAGATCAACAGAAGAAGCAGACAGGCCTTCCTGTTCACACAAAAACGACTAATTTCATGTATTTATGTATTTTGCAGATTGGGGTTTTGTCCCAAAGCAAGTAGAAAATTTAGCAACTTAAATGTGCAAATCGGGGGAACAAAAAGGGCAAACTAGAGAAATTGCATTTCCTGTGAAAATGCAGTGTGAAATTAGCTAAAAAAAAAACATGCCTAAATGTAGCTGAAATAAAAGAACAAGCCTAAGTTAGCAGAAGAAAAGCAGAAAGAGCACATATTTTGCTGAGTTATGTTTAAATAAACGGAAATGAGCACAAAAATAGGAAACTTGTTAAAAAAGCTGAAATTAGCAGAAAGACATCAATTAGGCTGAAAGTTGCAGAGATAACATGAAAAACTTTAATTTATCTGAAAACAGCTAAAATTAGCTTAAAGCTCACTGAAAAGGTAGAACAAGCAGAAGAAAGCAGAAAGAAGACGTTTGCCCAGTTAAGCTGAACAAAGCAAAAACGAGCACAAGAAAGTGGAAATTACCCGAAAAAAGTTGAAATTAGCAAAAAACAACAAAAAAAAAAAAAAACCTGCTGAAAAGTAGCTAAAAAAGGCAGGAAGAAGCTGTAATTACAAAAAGAAAGTCAAGAGCATAGTTTTGCTGAATTCGGCAGAAAAAAGTTTAAATGAGTGCAAAAAATGTGGAATGAGCTGAAAATGCTTAAATTAACAAAAACAGCTAAATAGTAGCTGAACTAGTAGAACAAGCTGAAACTTCTAGAAATAAGCTGAAAGGAGCATAACAAGCTGAAATTTTCAGAAAGAAGTTAGAAGCACAAAAATGTTGTAGTTGGCTGAAAAAATTTGAAAGGAGCACAAAAGAGCTGAAAAAACAGCTGAAATTAGCTGAAACAAGTTTAAATTTGCAGAAGGAAGCTGAAAGAAGGACAACAAAATGTGAAAGGAGCAGTAAAACGTTGTAAACAGATCTAAAGAGTTGAAGGAGGTAAAATGAGCTCAATTCATTTCCTGTGAGAGAAAAAAAAAGTGGCAGAAAAGGCTAAATATTTCAAAAAGCTAAAGGTACACAAATACCAAAAGTCATAGCAGGATTGTCCTGAAAGGGCTGAACATTTTGATATATGATTTGTTGAAATAGCTTGAAAACTGCGGAAAGTGTGAATGCTTCATAAACATTCAGACAAATACAAAAGTAAACAGCACTAACCTCTGTAATCAGCGTCTGCTGAAATAAACCAGCTAAAACCAAAATAACTAAGCATTCACTTTTATGTGTAACGTATCAGCATCACAATTTATTGCTCAGGACCAACAGTTATGATAAAACAATAGGGAACGTTGACATTGTTGTGTACAGACTGAACATGTTGAACTCACTGCAGGCTCCCAGTTTTACCTCCAAAGCTGACATCTTCATCATGAGGCTGCGATGATGCTCCTTTTTCACTCTTTCCTCAAAGAACTCTGAAAACCTCTGCTTCAGTACCAGACGCATGTTGTAACGCTTGGCCATGCTGACACAAACACAAGTGCAGCAAGGTTAACAGAGACGAGTGAAGGCTGCGGAAAATGCAACCATTTCTGCACAACGCAAACTAATCTCATCTTACAGCAATTGTTCTGCTATTAAATGTCACTGAGCTGATCATTTTAGAAAAGTCTTACTGTTCAAAAAGAGGAAAGTAGACAAGGAACTCAGGAACATCAACAACTCCTTCGAGGCTGAAGTGATACTGACACCCAAACAGAGGGTAGGAGCCTTTGGACTGAAAGGAGACTTTAAAGACTTCATTACCGAACGACAGAGAGTCCGACGCCTCCAGACGTTTACTAAAAGAAAAAGATGTGTACAGTTTAAACAACATCCTCTACAGACTCATCAAGTACTGGATTTGTAACTGTATCTTTTTAAGTGAACGTAGTTTCTAAAAGAAGCTAATTTAGTTGAAGGAAGTGTGCAGCATGAACAGGAGGAATCTTTCTTACATGAGCTCATAGGCGTCTGGTGTCGTCCCGATAAAAAAGCCTCCAGGCTTCAGACGCTCGCAGGCGTTCCTCAGCATCATGTCGGCCTTCTGCTCGCTCTCAAACGAGTAATGGTACACGAACTGGCAGCTGCAGATGTCGAACCGCAGCTCAGCGCCGTCCAGCTTCTCTGACAACACCTCCTGCATCGACAGGTCATCGAGAGGAAAAATCGTAAATCCAATTTAACGGCAGGCGGGAAAACTGTGCGAAGTGCTGTCAGCGCTGTTGACGTGATCGACCTTTGAAGAGTCTGAGGTGATGAACTGAGCGCTGAAGATTTTCTCGTTAGCAAAACTTTTCTGTTTCATGGTTTCAAAACGACTCTGGCACTGCTCCACCGACACTGCTGCTATATCTGGAAACAAACAGAGGTGGATTTAAGCACTTTGAGGTGAAATACAGGCATAGGCTAAGACCCTACTTTTATATGATAAATCTGCTTGCCATACAACAAGTGACTGCTTTTCACAGTAGGGGCACTTTATTCAGTTAGTTCTATTAGAGGCTTCTTGTACTTGTGTGGTCAGTACTGAAGTGAAAAGGTATTTAACTTCATGTAGTTTAGCCAAAAACCTTCCACTTTTCTATTTTTATTAGTATTGTGTGCATGCACAGTCCAACGTATTAATGGAAAAGAGAAAGACGTTGTAATCTGTTTAGCATTTTTGGTACGTTTGTTTTTAATACATATATTTTCCAGCACAAATTAAGAATTTTTTTTTTTTTTGTAATTATACATTTCTCATTTTCTTGAGGTCCAAGCCTCACCCTTGCTAAATGGTAGAAGGTTCTTTATTGTCATTCGCATCACATGTGGTACATGAGGTGAAACAAAACTGTGCACTCAAGGTCCCAGTTGCACCCAAAAATAGCAAAAATATAAAGTATTAAAAAAGAAACAGTACACAAGTATCTAAGATATATGCTAAACAATAATAATGTAACATAATACAGTGTATTAAACAGCAGCCTGATATAAGTTTGTCTTTGTTTACATACATATTAAAAAAAAATCCCTACCGTAAAGGCTTACTACCTCCACTGACTAACGAAGTTGTCACAAACTAAAATTTGTTACTTTTTATAACTTTTACGTTACTAGTAAAAGGGAGAAAAAGCTCTAAATGAAGAATATATGAGCCAAACTGATTAACTTGATCAAATAAGCACTTTACAATGTTCTTTATTCATCCATTTTTATACAAACACACATTTTTTCACTAAGTAAAAGGTAAATGGACTGTACTTATATAGCACCTTTCTATCTTATGAAGATACTCAAAGTACTTTACAATCTGTGACCTCATTTATGCATTCATACAGCACTCTACTATACCTTTACAAAGAATAATGGGTGCTTTATCACATTTATACACCGATGGGACACACATCGAAGGCAATGAGGGGAGTGTCTCGCCCAAAGACTCTTCGGCTTGTGACTGTTGGAGGAATTGAACCCCCAAAATTTGCATTGGACGACAATTGCACTAACCACTCAGCCACAGCTGTCCCAAGTGACATCAATGAGCATATCATGAGTGATGGGTCCAACCTAGAGACGTCCTCATCTGACCCTGCATTGGGAGAATATACAAAGAAACATCTGAGGACCAGTCTGGAAAAACTAATCACCTGTACAGACGAGGTGACTGATTCCTCCTTTCCTCCACTTCAGCAGATCTCCTCCTTTCCCACAGCCGAGATCCAACACAGACAAGTCCCTGTTACCTGCTTCTCGTGTCTTCTCTAGGATCTCACCTGTCAATCAGCGGAGGAAAAAGATTATATGATTCGCTCAGCTCAATTGGACTCGGTAGACGAAACGAATTAAAAATAAAGAAATGGTTCACAGTGGTAACAAAAAGCTAATAAACTTGTGACAGACTGATCATATCTGGTGAAGACTGGAGAGTTGAGATTGCTGGACTAGAAATTCTCATTGATTAGTGATCAATTACCAATCAGAACACTCTTCATCCAGTTGTTGAAGTTCCTCATGAATAAGATCCTGCTGTGGCTTCGACCCTCTAGACCGACTTCCTTCTGCCTGTTGTAGTGACTCGCCACCGCAACACTGTGATCAGTCACCTGAAGGATCAACAACGTGTCAATATCTTCCTTTGAACAGGTTAAAGCCACAGCAACAGGTCAGCTGATCCACATAAATATACATTTTTTAATGATAAACAACTACCTGCTTCTTACGGGGTGGCTCCTCTTCATCATCCAGCCTCCTCTTCTGCCCTGACTTTTGACCCAGCTCTTGTTTGCTTCCTCCAGAAGTTGCTCCTTCCTCTCCTTCTGCGCATCCTCCTTTCTGCTCCATTTTTATTTTATTTTTTTGTCTGGAGTAAGTCAAAGGAGGACAGAGGAAAATCAAGCTGACTGAAAATAAAACTCTACCCAAATCTGTTGGAATAAACTTGTGAAGTCTGGACAAACCCATGTACAAAGTTCTCCTTCTCTCTCAGACCTCGCACGGTTGCCTCTCTGATCAACGGCGTCAGCCGATAAAAACTAGTTTGTTTTTCAGGTGTTCTATCTTAGTGACTTGATGTATTGCCCCTAAGCTCATTATGCAATATTTTATGTGGAAAGATGAATATTTTAAATTGTAATTTGGTCCTTTTGTTACCCGAAATGAGTTTATAATTATTAATAATAACAAAAACAACATTAATAATAAAAGTAGTATCTTATTATAAATCTAAGTTATAAAAAGCAGTGTTGCATATAGTCAAATGACTGAACAAAAAACAGCTGATACCAGACCAAAAATACATATTAACCATGATAACTATAATAAATATGAATTAGTCTTTTAAGAATCTAAAGCTTTACAATTTAGGTAAATATAAATAGAAGTGATGTAATAAGCACATTGCTGGATGCTGCTATCACGGTGCATTAAGATTCATAACTGGCTGCAACTACCGTACCCACCACTGCGCCCAGTATTCACTGGTTAACTGGTCACCAATAACTTCACGCAGACTTTTCCACTGGACATTTTCATCTTTAAATCACTTCTTGGTCTGCTGCCTTCATACATCTCCTCCTACACGTCTCTGCGTGAGTGCAGCTACAGCGTGCGCTCTCAGGACATTATTACCTGCAGTGTCCCCTCAGTGAGGACTGAACTTGGCAAAAGGACCTCCTCCTACTCCGCTCCTGTTTCCTGGAATATCTTACAAAAAGATCTGAAGCTCTCGACCTTGACCTCTCTAAGTGGCTTCAAACATGTTAAGTTCCTGGCGAAAACCAACGCAGACATGTTCCTGCTTTTAGTTTTCTAAATCGCCTTAGAATCTAGCTGGTTTGTTTTGCTACTGTTCCTCTCGATTGTCCTTTTGGTTGCTATTTTGTTTTGATTTGTTAAAAAAAAAAAAAGAGAAACTTAAATTTGTATGCCTATATTATGACTATCATTGTCACTGTTATCCATCGTCATCACTCTGTTAAGAAATCAGGTCCCTCGTGTAAATGAGTCCCCGAGGCTCAATGGGATTAACCTGACTAAACAAAGGTTGAATGAACATTACAGAGGCAGAAAACATTAAATGAGAATTACACCTTATGTGTAGTAACGTGTTCCAAAGGACACAAAAAGGGAGTTCTTTGAAGGAAATGATACATTCCTACAAATCAGATTCTCCTTATACATTCTGATTAAGCACTGATGCGTAAGTGGACTGTCAATGTTTCAGACAAGTATATGTGAATAAATAAAATGGGTTATATATCAGCTTTAGGCATTGACATGAATTAAAAAGAGTCCATTTGGAAGGAAAGACTCCATGTAATTTCACTAGAAATTAATGTTAAATGAATGGACATCCAATTATCTCTGACTGCAGGTTTAACTTAATTAAACTCACTATGTGAAATGTGCTTATCTGTTTTTCCTGTGCAATTTAACAACAAAAGCATAATGTCAAACTCTCAAATCCTGTAAATAAACACAACAGAATCGGGAAACAGCTTATTCTGGTTAGCTTATGCCCTAACGACGCGTTAAATTCATTTTATTTTTGTTGCTTAGATTCACCAGTTCAGTGGGATCGGCTGGTTTAGAATCAGTTGTTTTGTTTTTTTAAAGGCAGACCTTCAGATAAACTATCAGGCAACACAAACCTAAACTTAGGTTTCATTCACTTTGAATTAATCTCTACACGAGCAACGAGCGGTTAGCAAGCTAACGCCAAACAGCTTCGTTAATCCCATAAAACATTATTGTATTCTATCAAAAATAAACCGGAACCACTGCCTGGAAATACACTGTTCGAAAACATCGAAAAAACCGGCGAACTCGTGGTTGAGGGGAAACTAGACTCAAAGTACTTGTTTTAAACAGAAGACGATAACCTACCCACAATGTTCTGCGGACAACGCGCATGCGCTCTGCGCAGTTTCCGTAACGTCAAATATGTGCGACGCAAGGCAACGATGTAAACAAACATCAAACAACAATGTCAATACTCAATAATCCAGGTATAAAATCCAACATTTTTCAGTCAGATCATCTGGACAGTTTTTTTTTTTTTTTTTTGTACTGAAACGTTTCACCTTCAATCCAGAAGGCTTCATCAGTCAAGGAAACACAACAAAACTGATTCTTCCCCCAACAGCTTACTCCAAAGTGGAACAAACCAGTTCTGCTTGTGATAAGATGGTCTCTTTGGTACGTCCCTCCTCCATTGCCGGCCCTCTTCCTTGTTGACAGTTTTGTCAAACTGGTTGAAAACAACAAAGTCCATGCTCAATAATCCAGGTATAACTATAATGACTGATGAAGCCTTCCGGATCGAAGGTGAAACGTTTCAACGCACACACAAAAAGAAACTGTCCAGATGACTTGACTGAAAAATGTTGGATTTTATACCTGGATTATTGAGCATGAACTTTGTTGTTTTCAACCAGTTTGACAAGACTGTCAACAAGGATGAGGGCCAGCAATGGAGGAGGGGGTGTACCAAAGAGACCATCTTATCACAAGCAGAACTAGTTTGTTCCACTTTGGAGTAAGCTGTTGGGGGAAGAATCAGTTTTGTTGTGTGTTTCCTTGACTGATGAAGCCTTCCGGATTGAAGGTGAAACGTTTCAGCACAAAAAAAAAAAAAAAAAGAAACTGTCCAGATGATCTGACTGAAAAATGTTGGAAACATCAAACTGTAACAACCATAGATATGATATCTATGGTAACAACAACCAAAAAAAAAAAAAACCATATCAAATATAATTACACTAAAGACACTACAATAAACAAACCTCAAAAGTTGTCATTATAGTAAAAATGGCAAATCGGAAATTGAAAAATATCGTTTCGCAAATAAAATCCTGGAAAGTACAAAGAGACATCACAGATGGATTGACCTTTTCATGATTAATTTTTTTAAAATATATGATAAAAGTACCAAAATAATTTTAATGAATTTATTTATTTGATGTTTGCAATTTAGCTTTGTATATAATTCCATTATTTCTAGGGTTTAAGGTGTTCATACTGTGTTGTTTTTGCATCAAACTTTGATTTTTGTTTGTTTGTTTTTTTGTTTACATAATTCAACATTTTTTAAATTTATTATTATTTTATATTTATTTAATGTTTGCCAATCCATTTATCCTCTGCCTGTGCATAACAATTAAACAAACAAGTCAACATAATTTGTTGTACTCTCCCCCACAATTAATCATTCATGTTTCGTCCACAAGCTCTGAGCTGTTTTTAGATATCAATAAATGTTTACCACACCAAACTGCTGTAAAACATTTCTAATAACCACCAGATGCTTCAAGTCTACAGTATAATTCATTGTCTGAACATGGTGTGTAAATTTATTTCCCAAGGTTTAATTTCAGTCATTGAAACATCACAAAAAGCTATTGATTTGTTTTGCACGTCTTTGTACTTGCCTTAGTGTCTTAATGCTAGCACAAGACAGAAGATGATTATTCACTACTCCCATCAGCTGTCAGCGATGACTGATAGATTGGCGGATCGATGTCTTCAGTACTTGTCTTCACATTAGTTCTAACATTATCTTCATTTCTACACATTTCATGTTGGTTTACGTTAAAGATTTCAAAACTTGTTGGACACTGAAGCCAGAAAACACCAAAAAATGTTTAAGCTCAGATTAATACAACTCTTTGGTATTTGACTGTTTTTACTACCAACTTTGTACAAAATGTATTTTATAACAGACTGGATTTTAATGTAAGAAAACTCAAAATATCAAATTTCATTTTATTATCTGATAGACACACTTATTGCGTACACTCAATGAACAATTTATTTTTACAAGTTGGTCAGTATGAACAAATCCAGAGGACTTTAGTCCACTTTGTTTTAATGCTTTCTGGTCTTCTTGCATGTATTTGTCAGTAAAGTGATCGCAAAGCTCCAGCAGGTGGCGCTGTAAATCATGCAGGAGACCAAAAATAACCCCTAAAAGAAAATTCATGCTTGAAACTTGACTGGACTGTCTGAGTTGTTCTATTTTCCCCTCTCAAAATTTGTTTTTATGTGTTTATTAATATGTTTTTCCTCCTTTAGAAATAAAACCAAAAGCTGAAGCACACTGTCATCCTGTGAATGTGGACCTCCACACGTTCTCCTCAAACATCAGGAGAAACAGAAATTGAGACCTTAGTCTTTTCACCTAGTCACCAATCAGGTGTTAACCTGGCAAAGTTCAATCTATAAAGCACAGTTTTAACTTTAGCTGAGCTTTTTTCTGTGCTGTGGTTTACAGCTCTCTGGGCTCAGTGTCTACAAAACAATTGTCCTGGAATTTTAGGTTAAGAGCGTCCATTACAACTCGCTCCTATCTGGACAAAGGAACAAGCACTGTGAGGATCGTGTTCTTTGATTTGCTTTTATAATCCATCCAGGGGTGGAGCCAGGAGGTGGCCACAATGGGCCATGGCCACCAAAGATTTACACTGCACAGAATCTCACAGAAAGAACCACAAAGGCTCTAAAATCTCATATGTTGGAAATTAGTTCATAAACATAAAATTAATTTAGACAAATCAAGTTAACAGTCAAATGAATGAAAAGAAACAAAACTGCCTGAATTAGTAGGTAAAGAGTAAAACAAATTACTACAATTTATGTCGTTTTTTAAAAACATGAACACCCTCTTTTCTCATTTTTTTGCCAGGCAGGTCTTTTTTCATTGTATCTATAAAAAGGGAAAGAAAACAAATGTAAGTGCAGTATAGTCAGTAGCCTACATCTATGAGCCTAGAAGAAAAAACTAACATTATGGTTTCAGTATCCTTCATGTTGTGAGGAAAACCAAAGCAGGTCAGGACAGAACAACAGTGAAGCGTAGTTTTGAGTATTTTGCAGGGAACTATTGTTCTTAACATGGCGGCATGGCAACAAGCAGCACCACAGATTTCAGGAGTATAAACCAACACATCTTCTATTTATCTAGACAACCTTCTAGTCTTTCTTCCTCTGCTCATGGTTTGACTTGTAGTCCTCTTGTGTGTTTACTGCCACCTTTTTAATGAGATTTTAACTTTACTGTTGGCATGAATAGTTTATGCGGTCACAAAAATCTGGGCTGTACGCTGTTCAGAAAAAAGTGTCAAACAAGAAAATATAACAATAGGCTATTAATGCACACACCTTAAAGTTGAGGGAGCATGAAGTCCATCTTAAGATAACAGAACAGATCAAGCAATGAGTTTTTATTCGTTCAAACCAACAGCTTCACTGCAATAAAGACTTGTACAATAAACAAATTAATAATTAAATGTACTTATATTTTGTATTTGCAATTTAACACTCACAAAATACTTTTAATATGCTTGTGGGACTGAGTTTGTTGTTGCTCCTTGGCCTAATGAAGTCCTTTGGACAAAGGACGAAACGTTTCACAACAAACAAACAAACAAACAAAAAGAAACCGTCCAGGGGACCTGATTTAACTTTGTTGGACCTTTTTAATATATGATTTCATTTTTTTACTTATTTCCACTGGCTGACCCAGTCATCTTACTGATCTTACATTTAAAAAGAAACGTGTGCAATAAACTGTCAGAATTGTCAAATGACCCTCAAGGGTCTCAAACTCATCTTGAATTTGCCACAGGCATCCAGAACCCACTTCAAGTCAAGTCAAGGTACTTTATTCTAGAAATGCGCTGCTTGGGGTGGCTGCATGTTGGAGCAGCTCTGTCACTTTCATGCTGAGATTTTGCTTTTGGAAACTTTGATTCCTCTTTTTCTGGATGTGGATCGCCGTTCCTTTGGATGTTTTTTTTTTTTTTTTCTCTGGTGTCGGCTGCTGTGTAGCTGGAAGGATTTTTACTGAAACTTTTTTAGTTTGGGACATTTGTTATGATGCGTAACCATGGAAACAAGGTGCTTTTTTTTGTTGTTGTTGTTTTTTTTTTTTACAACCATGAGCTGCTGATTAACACCTCAAAAGCTCAAATAATATTTCAACTAGAGGCCCAAATCTTAAATGAGTTGAAAAGGAGGCGCCGTTGATGCATTCCCGTCTCCCTGCTGGCTGTGCTCGAATGCCTGACCATCAAGATCCTGGAACTGGCAGGAAACACGGCTCGTGACAGCAGAAGGACCGGGATTGTCCCCCGACACCTGCAGCCGGCTGTCTGCAGCGACGAGGAGCTCAACTGGTTGCTGGGAGGAGTGGCCATCGCTCTGGGAGGAGTTCTGCCTGGCATTCGGGCGGTCCTGCAGTCTGGGGAACCAAGAGGCCAGTCAAGTCTGGGTGGACAGATCAGATGGCATCTGCAGCCAGTTTCTTCTGATCTGCTGTGGGATGGACCGGCCTACAGCCATCATCTATAACAACTTTTAACGAAATGAGGATAACGAGTTGCAACATTAAATTTCCCTTTGGGATTAATAAAGTATTTTTGAATCCACGTGTGGTACATGTGGTGGAACAAAATTGTGTACACAGGGTCCCAGTTACATCCAATAAAAGTATAAATCATTAAAAAAACAGTAGTACGATCTAAGATATGAACTTAAAAATATGTTAAAACTAAGAATACACTAAGCACTAATAGTACAAAAACAATACGTCGAACAGCAGCAGCACGATGGCAACAGCAACAGCTTCAAGCTGTTTACTGACACCTACAGGAGCTCACCTCTGACATAAAAAACACATCAATAATATAAAATAATAATAATAAAATAAAATAAAAACTCCAGATCTGTTTATCTTCATTTCAAAAGTTTTGTCAACTGGATAAAATCATAAGTAAGTACATTTCATTTATATTGCACTTTTCATATAAAATCACAAAGTGCTTTACAGACATAGAGAATTGTGGGGATGGCTGCCAAGGTAGGTACAAAGTAAGCTCAGGTGGGTATGAGGCAGGGTACGCTCTGGACATGTCTCCAGTCCATCACAGGGACACGTAGAGAC